GTCTCAATACTCAATAAACATGCATTTTACTCCGAAATATGTAACAAATCGAGTAATAAAATGCATAAAGTGCCTTCATCCTATTTACATTCATCCATAGTAAACTTATATTAACGGTTTCAACGCATTTATGCAATAGGAGTGTTGGATGATCGTTTTATAAACAGAACCGAATCGGCGTAGGCTTAGTCTACTATCCTTGATGAAGTTCATCATATAGTATAACCTGAAAAAGGACTCACTCTTTTGAGTTTCACAAAGAAGTCACCTTGTGAAATGTGGTTTGCGTGCAGTTTGTAATTTGGTGATTATTTGGAAGATAAAGTCTCTCCTCAAGTGATCCCGTCTGTTCCTGCATGTCCACTGTCTGCACTTTATCCGACATAGGCATCTGGTCCCCGTATGTTGTACATGTGCATATGGCGCGCTGCAGTTGGCTGCCAACATCTCGGATCACTTGACGCTAAAATGTACACAAGCACGATGAGTTTATATTGCATTGTATCCTTAATCTGAAATGATGCAATGAAATGTTCTTTAACGGAAATCCACAAACTAGACTAGGTTTATAGCATTCTGATAGGCAGAATAGAGACCAAATCGCTTGGCAAAATTGTGACCCGCTCTCACTTACAGGACTGGAATAGATATAATTTAAATCTTTTATTAGGTTTATCTGTGTCTCCTATACAGTTAGTCAGAATGGGCGCATCTACCACAGAGAGTACAGCATGCGCATCATACCGAGTTTATTGTTTGCCAAAATGGTGATGATCTGATTCATCACTCCCATTTTTTAAATCTTTATCATTGGTCGCACCTGGGCAACTCTTCATAGTTTTGCATAGGTTATTTCAGGACAAGGAATCTTACGTAAAATCCTTTATTTAATATTATATTTTGAAAATGCCCAAATTAAAATCCATAGAATAGAAATAAGCAAAAATCCCTGACGATCCCCAGATTAAACTTTAATTGACGAGTTTTGTCAAATTCTAAACGTGACGACATCATGATTCTCTTAAAAGGAGTAACAAACTCCTACAAGTTATTTTAAGTCGATCAACCAAAATAATCTTATTCTTTTAACATATAGGAACTCATACTTCTTCTCTTACAAGGACTACGGTGTCATTAGCGCTCGATTTTCTCAGGGAATTCTTCACCTAGTAATTAAAAATATGAATAAAATTATTCATCAATTTCGCTGCTCTCTGTTTGAGCGCTTAGCAGGTGACACCTGTAGGATAAAGAGGCCATTACGTTTTACTTGTGTGCTCTAATCAAAGGAGGATGGATTTACTGGAGCTGAAGGCTAAATCAAAAGATTGATGTAGCTCTCAAAGTGTTTAGAGAAGAAGCGAACTTGATTAAAGGGGAGATGCCGTATTTGCTTCCCTTTTGAAACATAAGCCCATAGCATCTATACTAAATCGTATTAACACATGTCACTTATGTAGATCATGAAACACAATCCTGGGAATCGACAAGTCCCACTGAAAGAGTCTAGAGAAGTTTACATGCAGAGTAGAGAAAGACCATCTTGTTTCCAGCAGCTGCGTCGATATTATTCCAATTAGCACCTTCCCAAAAAAAATAACTTCTTCTCTATCACAGATTCCTTCGTGTCGACCGGTTTGCTGCCACTGTCCGTGTATGTGCAGCCTGTGTATCCAACACGCCATACCTTGTAGCGAATTTAACTCGTTTCTCGCATGACATGTAATCTCTGTCATAGCATATACAGGCCATTTGCTGGCCCAGAACTTGCAGGGAAGACTGCATAGGGCGATGGAAGGAGGCATATTTGAGCCCGGCAAAAACATATAACCATAAGTATCAGAACCAAGGATGGGATGGTAGTCTTCTTTCTCTGTTTAAAATTTTTCAGAACTATTTTTCATAACTTGGTCATACTGCCAGAGTACTGTGCTACGGCAGTCGTGACAAGTTACAGCATCGGAACATGAACTTGGTACATTTTCAGAAGGTTTGATGTCAGCAGTATCGGTATCAGTAATGGGCTTTGACAATTTTACTAGCAGGCAACAACTCATCAACGAGAAAAATGAAAATCTTCCCTTAACTAGCTTTCTGTTATCCATCTTTCCTCCATCTCTCCTGGTAAGGGTTAGTTATAAGTTGTAATAAGTAGATTGAGATATGAGGAGATGGAATGGGGAAATGCACAAGAAGAGGAAGTGGAGAGATACCGCAATCGTTATTCAGGAAGTTAGACAAGGGATTGATTTCAATTGCCTTTTTAGGAATGGTAGTTTGATGCTAAAACGGGCAAGGCTTACTGATGATACCGGCTTGAATGTAGGCCAAAGTGCCGGAAACACGCTAAGTCCATAGTCCAAATCCGGAAGGCAGCATAACTACCATGACGGAGGAGGCCGATCAGAGTGCCTACTTCGAGGTCGCGGAAAGCAGGTCAGAAAACATATAAGCATTCATGAACTAACCCTTTTGTTGACTTTCAGACGGCGCAGCCAACAGAAGATCTCAACCAGCCAGACGGCGATGCTGAATAAGAGGCCTGCACCCAGGCCAAAGAACGCGCCCGACATTTTGCTCATACCAAGCTGGTTACGTACTGTCAGTGTGCTTTGCGGCGACTGGATTGAGCAGGGTACCGTGACATTATGGCTGATTAGCCACTTTGTGCGCAGCTTTTCCATCTCCTGTTCCTTTTGCATCTTAAGGATTGTTTCGGAGAGCATGTCCTTCAATCCGTTGTCTAAAATGGGTTGAATACATGCTAGGCAGTTTGAGTAATTTTGCAGGAACAGCCCGAAATATTGACATACTCGCCAAAGAATAACTAATTACGCCTAATTTGGGTATAGCATACTTAAAGACACAACACTATATATGTTAAAGGGGCAACAAAGTTATACTCCAAAAAGGAATTTGCAAACTCAAAAATATAAATTAAGGCTTAGTTAGTGGCCATTGGCAAGTTGCAACCTATAAAACAAAATCATGATAAACGAGACCTATAAAAAGGCGAACCGACTTTGATAACAGTTTTGAAGCCAACCTTGTCTAAGATATATCGTATAAAAGTAGAGTTTCGAGACCACCAATAAATCGGTTATTTGAGATGTATTCATCCTGTGACCCAAGGGCACTCGTGGCAGTGGGCCAAGTGGTTAACGTGTCAAGCTCACATCCTGAACTGTCACTGTTCGACTTCCGCTGGGGGTGTTGATGAGACCTAGGCGAGGTCGAAATTGCAGTCCACTGGTGCCTGGATGAGAATAACTTTTGGGAAAGCAAGGCTCTATGAAATTCAATAAAAACGTCAGCTCTACTCATATAATAATGAGAAAATTCAACTACCAGTCCTTCATCACCTTAAACGAAGTATGGTGAATATATCTCATATAAAATATATGGCTTTATTTTTTTATATCTGATCGTTTTTCTCAAATGATATTTGTTACTTCATTCAACTAGGCTATGCGATTAAGTGGGCCTATAGCAGTTAGAACATTAGAAGAATAAAGCAGCCGAACAATTTCAACCATTTGTCATGTGATTAAAATGTACTGTTGGAGTTTGGAATAGGTAGCCTATCGTTTTCCAATCTAAGACAGTATAAATGGGCTATAAAAGTACTTGGGATAAATATAAACAAGTTTTTATGGCTTGGTTTTTGGCATAGCCACCCGAGAAATATGAATCTGCGCAGAGCTATTATTCTTTACAGAAAACCTGACGATTGATTGAAAAGCATTGTAGAATCTTTAAAAGAGTAAAATTCTGCGTCAATTAACTTCTGGAACTTCTCCCAATGTAATG